GGCTTTGAATGTCTTTGAAAACAAATATATTGGATGAGAGTTTGCTGATCAAATTGAGGCTGATACTGACTTTTTCTCTTGGGTGGAATTGCCAGGTCTATGAGTGACCTAAATGGAAATAGAAATGGTTTGCTGAACAATCAGTGAAAGAAAAAGGATTCGTTTCTTTTTTTTTTTAAGTAAATAATTATTTTTTTATTTAGCTTTATTTATTTACTTACTTATTTTAATTGTATCAATGAGACAGAGCGAGAGAAAGAGAAAAAGTGAGAAGGCAAGCTGCCAGGTCTGGGATTCAAACAACGGTCTACAATGTGGGAATCCAACACCCTTAACTACCATACCACCTACTGGCCCCAAGGGATCAATTTTCTTACCAGCTGAAATCCATTCCCTGGAAGTAGCCACAAGATAGTGCTGGGAAGGTTCTTATAGCTCCAGGGCCAGCCATAGCAAAGATGCAATAAATGACTCAGGGATTTCAATCCCCAGTGTTTCCTCCTAAAATCCCTCCTCCTCCTAATCACAGGCCACAGAAGGCAACTTGCTTCAAAACTTCTCCTAGATCTTTCCATACAATGTGGCTTCCTGTACCCCAGAACTTCTGGTACCCTTTCTCATTGCCATTTTTGACAGGTGTTTAGTTACTTTGAGCAACCTATGTATTCTTCTGGTCAGAAGAACACTATGGTGCATCTTAGGTCTTTGTGTTCAATGGACCTAAACTCCATAATCAAGTTCTGATTATGACCTTTCTATATCACTATTCTAGATACCCTCTGAAGATAAAAGTAAAGAGGAATTGAAATGTCATGGCAGTCGGGCTGGCCCCATAGTGCAGTGGTTAAATCCTGTACATAGAAGGCCAGATTCTACATGGCCAACTACAGTTGAAATCCTGGCCCTGGGTGTGTGCATGCTCAGAATCCCAATGGATAGAAAAATGGAGGAAAGGGATCGTAGTGTGACTAAATCCTATTGGGGGGGGTGCTCTCTCTTTTTCTGGTGGGAGAACATGTCCTCTGTCAATAAAGAAACAAATGTCATAGTAATATAGTTTCATACATGAGTGGAAGTGTATATCTCTGGGTCAACTTGTTTGAGATATGAATTTAAGTCTATACTCAGTGGTGCAACTGTGGTGATACATAATAAGACCTTAAAAATGTGTCCAGAGACCTACAGATGTCATTGTGGTTATGTCGTTGGACTTCCACATAGTCAACCACAGTTTGAGCCCTGGACCTGGTGGCTTAAAACTCACGCTGGGCGCATGTGAATGCATGCCCAAGAACCTGAGCGGAGAATGGAGGGGAAGGGATTGTGGCATGGCCATACCCCATGGGGGGTGATTTATCACTTTCTGTCTCTGTCTCTCTGGTAAATGCACGTACCCTATAACAAAAAAAATCTCTTAAAGAAAAAAGTTCAAGTTTTGTCTCAGTAACTCCAGCAATTAGGGATATCAGCAAAAGACTTCGCTCTAAGAATGCTTGCCAAAGTGGTTTTTTTTTTTAATTGCAGTTTCTGATTTACATATAATCATTATGATTGCAATGTGTTTCCTTTAAGAAAGGATATATTAGCAGACATTGAGAGGCTCTGCCTGAAGTTTAGAAAAAGCAAGAGCAAGAATCTGCCATGTTGTGGGATACTGAACTGGGAAAGATGCTAGATGGGTGAAGAGGTCCTCTGTTGTGTGTGGGCTGTGGGAAGCATGAAGGATACTCACCTACATGGCAAAGGAAACAATAAAGAGCTTACAGAATGGGAGAATATATTTACAAACTAAACATACAATCAAAGGTTAATATCCAAAATATAGAAGGAACTCAAATAACTCAATAGCAAATAAACAACTTGGTTAATAAGCAAAGATATAACTAGAAACTCAGAAGAAGACACATCTGGCCATTAGGTATATGAAAAAATGTTCAACATCACCAGTCATCAGGGAAATACAAATCAAAATCCCAATGAGATGCCACTCCCTTCTGTTTAGAATAACTATCATTAAAAGGACAAAAGATAGCAAATGCTACTAAAGATGTGGAGAAAAGGGAACACTTAACACATTGTCGGTGGAAATGTAAATTAGTACAGCCTTTATGTAAAATAGTATAGAGGCTCCTCAAAAAGCTAAAATTGGAACTACCATATGATTCTGCATTACCACTACTGGGTATATATCAAAAAGAAATGAAATCAGTATGTCATACAGATATCTTCTCGCCCATGTTCATTGCAGCATTATTCACAATAGCCAAGATTTGGAATCAACTGGAAGATGTGAAGTGAAATGAGCCAGGAACAGAAAGACAAATATCACTCATATGTGGAATCTAAAACAGATGATCTCATTGAAGTTGAGAGTAGGATAGTGTTTACCAGAGACAGAGGAAGGTAGAGAGTGGAGGAAATGGAGATGGATATCTTTACTATATTTTTAAATTTTATATCGTGATTTTATTTAACAGATAAGGTAACATATTTAGAGAAGAAACAAAAATTGCCTAATGCTTCATAAATTACTCAAATTGCTTCTGTTGACCACTGTGGTTTCCAGCATCCCCAAATGAGAAAAAAAGCACTTCAATGCTTTATGAAGTTGTTAGAATCAAAATGGAGTCATTTGTGTCAATTGGTGCTAACTCTGATGAAAGAGAACCAGGGAAAGCCATGAAGGAAGTGTTTTCTCATGCCGATATGCATAACAAGATTATCACTTAAGAACTCAGTTAGAATTACAAATGTGTGCAAAGACACCTGCAACCTAAAACAAAGAATAAAGAATATCTATACTTTTCTTGTACAAAGACATTTGACCAAAGACTGCCTTTCCAACTTTGGACTGATACCACCCTTGTTATAGATCCTTGGACCCAAGAATAATTGTCCCAGAACAACTGGTATAATTTTAACCTTTTCTTCTTCCCCTCTCTTGTAATTTTTGCCTTTAAAACCTGTTTGAGGAGGGACTAGCAGTTAGTGTAATGGCTATGTCACTGGATTCCCATGTAGTCAACTGCGGGTCGAGTCCCAGACCAGGTGGCTTAAACTCACAGCGGGTGCGTGTGTGTGCATGCCCAAGATCCCTAGAGGAGAATGGAGGAGAAGGAATTGCAGCGTGGCCATCCCCCCTGGGGGATGATTTCTTGCTTTCTGTCTCTCTGTCTCTCTCTGTCTTTCTGGCAAGCGCACGTTCCCTATAGCAAAAAACCTCTTAAAACAAAACAACCTGTTTGAGGATTATAAGATCTTGGTGAACATGTTCACCTGAATTTGTTCATCTGGGCTGCATGCAGTCCTCAAATTTATGTCTAAATAAACTCCTTTTGTTTTATGTACTTTGCTGCAGTTTACCTCTTAGGTTGTCAGTGCCTACATTTTTTTTTTTTTTGGGGAGATTTTCACTGTAGGGCGCGTGCGCTCGCCAGGTGTGAGTTTCAAGCTGCTTGGTTCAGGACTCTAATCACATGGGAGTCCAGTATCTCAACCACTATGCCACTTGTTTTGTTTTGTTAAACAATTTAGGTGGGACCAGCAAGTGGCTAGGGCACTGGACTCCCATATGGCTGAATATGGTTCAAGTCCTGGACCTGGTGGCTTACTTTCTCATTTTCTGTCTCTCTCTCCCTGTCTCTCTTTGGTGAGCACATGTGCCCTATGGCAAATTACAATAATAATACATAAATAAAATTAAGTTTAAAAATTTTTTTAAAAATTATTTAATTTATTTAGCTGTTTTCATTTGACAAGGGAGAGACAGAAAGAGAAAGAGAGAAAGTGAGGGGCCAGCAGATGGCATAGTGGTTAAGTGTGCTGGCTTCCCACATGGTCAAATTAAAAAATGAATAGAGTTAAATAAAATAATTCTTTAATTAAAAAATAGAGGAAAAGTGAGAAAGCAAGCTGCCAGATCCAAAACTCAAACTGCTCTTGGCTATGTGGGAGTCCAGCTCCTTAACCATCGGGCCACCTGTTGACCCCAAATTTTAAAATTATTAAAAATAAATTTAGGCCAAATTCATCATTTTACTGAGAAGGAGATTGAGTCTCAGGAAGGTAAAGTTATCTGACCAAGTTGAAATTCCTAATTACATGATGTTTCTTAAAGTTCTTTGATGATCTAATAAAATGTTATATTTATTGCTGATTATAAAATTATTATATGCTCATTAAAGAAAATGTGAAAAAGTGATAAAAAGATTAAAAAATAAAATACACGATACTAATCTCACTGCTCATGAAAAAACATTGTTAATGGTTTGGTATATTTTCTTCCAAACTTTTTTAAATCCATTCAATAATACTT